AAAACTTCCAGTGTTGGAGCATTCACCGCTTCTGGAGGCAGGTTGTTCCACTGGTTAATTGTTCTCACTGTCAGGAAGTTTCTCCTTAGTTCTAGGTTGCTTCTCTCCTTGATTAGTTTCCATCCGTTGCTTCTTGTCCTGCCTCCAGGCGCTTTGGAAAATAGCTTGACTCCCTCTTCTTTATGGCAGCCCCTGAGATCACTGCTATCATGTCCCCCCTCGTCCTTCTCTTCATTAAACTAGCTTGTTGGTCATAATCTTACGTATGCCTAAAGACCAACATCCAAAACCTGCACTATATTGGATACCTCTTGAAGGAAAGGAAAAACGAGGCTGGTCTCAGAAAACCTGGGGCCAAACAAGGAAGATCTTAAGATGATAAATGTCCCTCGGGGCGATGCTGAAGATGCTGCGAATGATTAAAACTGCTGGAAAACACTTGCTGCTCAATGTGCTCTGCACAGGACCTAATGATGATGATGATAATGGCTATATTTTAAACTTTTTGAGACAAAGGCTCTGGTACAATTTTTATTGGGGTAACACTTGGCTCGTACAGAGTAGTAACTGATGATGTTACCTAGTTTGGTTATGAAACGTCTTCAAGAAAATAACCAAGCTCAGAGAGCACCAGGGTCTCCTGATTTCAACCTGAGCTTTACAAATATTCTCTTTTATTAGTAGTAACTTCACTTGAGATTGAACAATCTGGCCCTAAGGCACATGCCTAGTTGCCAAACAACCAATCGAACAAGTGAAGACCTTCAAATACCTCGGTCAGGGGTAGGCAACCTTGGCTCTTTTATGGCTCGTGGACTTCAACTCCCAGAAGTTGAAGTCCATGAGTCATAAAAGAGCCAAGGTTGCCTACCCCTGACCTAGGGATTGTTTTCCATGCCAAGAGCAAATGCAAATCCCATGCCAATTACATCGGCTTAAACAACTGTATCTCTACAATCTTTCTATCTACTTCTCCAAAGGAGCTCAGAATATACCCATAGCGTTTAAAGCAGTGTTTCTCAACCTTGACAATTTTAAGGCATGTGGACTTCAACTCCCAGAATTGCTGGCTGTGGAATTCTGGGAATTCTGGGAGTTGAAGTCCACATGCCTTAAAATTGTCAAGGTTGAGAAACACTGGCTTAAAGGCTTCTCAACAAGAAACTTCCTTTTGGAGACCAACTGGAAGGCCTTACAGATCATTTCTTCCCCTTGAAAGAGTTCAGTCTAAGTGCTTGAGATCTATCTCCCAAGCATCCTGCTGCATTCCAAGTGTCGTACATTTCTATGAAACTGGCCTACTAAAAATAGAAACTTCCACTTGGATATACATCCTTTCCTCTTGGCCTAAACTTCTTTTTTTCCAGAATAACAGAGTTGGAAGGGACCTTGGAGATCTTCTAGTCCAACCCCCTGCTGAAGTGGGAAGCCCTATACCATTTCAGACAACTGGTTGTCCAATCTGTTCTTAAAAATCAGCTGGTTTGGCCCTTTTAATTATGATTGACAACTTCCAGTCTCTCTGGTATAGGGAAATACATGAAAATTTAAAACCTAATAGTTTCTCAGGGACAGCCATCACCTGTGGGGCCATGAATGCGTGCTAGCTGATTTTAAACAACACTTAAGAGCCGTAATCAGATTTGCCAGAAACATCTTTCTGAGACACTCTGCACATTTACTTTACCCAGTCACATATCACAGTTGCATAATGACCCCCAAATTCAGAAAGAATTTGTCCTTGGCTGGATTCAATGCTCTCACATTAGGTACTGGGGAAAAAGTAAAATCCCGAAAAATCTCTTTTGAATGGAGATTGTACCCTTGCAGTGGAGAAGTAATTAAAATGCTGGAATATGTTATATTGTATTGCTTCTTCTATAATGACACTCGCCATGAATTACTGTCCCAAAGGGATTACTGTCCCAAAGTTGCTTTTTCAACAGGCAACTGGACTTTCTTTCTTTTTCCTTGAAAACACTTTGCTTCTCATCCAAGAAGCTTCTTAGATGAGAAGCGAAACATCTTTAAGAAAAAAACAAAGAATGTCCAGTTGCCTCTTGAAAAAAGGACATTTGGGACAACCATGACCTGGATGACTGAGAATCTCCGTAGACGCTAGGAATTACTATTTTCACTCATCACCAAATATTCTGGCCGCTCTGATTCCTTCCATCTCAAGTTGCTACTATCAGACCAATCTGATTCTACTACAGTAATTAGAGTTAAGCACTGTTCCGTAGTTTGTACAATTCGCCACAATTTCTTTTCAAGTATCTCCTAGGTATTTTTTGTTTGGAAACATTTCAAATGCAGCTATTTAGTCTCCACTGTTTATTAATGTTTTGTGTCCTTACTCTCAATTGAATCTTATTTCTGTTAATTAGCTGCCAGAATTGTTTTATCAATATAAATAGTCACTATAATTGGACTCTTAGTTTGGAAACCATAATCACTTTTTATGCATTATCCTTCCTCATATATTAATCACTACATTTTTCAAGAAATAATATTAATTACAACTTTTCCATAGCTTTTAGTATTATAATTATAATCTATATATTTCACATTAGTAATTTTATTGTTTTGTCATTTGTTGTCATACATAAATTATATGTACATTTTACAGTCCCAAACTCTTAAATGTTTAACTTACAATTTTACTTGTACTGTGATATGATTTAAAGCTTATTTTACTCTAATCCAGCGGTTCTCAACCTATGGGTCGCGACCCCATTTGGGGTCGATCGACCATTTCACGGGGGTCGCCAAGCAAGGCTGTCCGCCATTTTTTTTGTCCGCCATTTTTTTTCCCTTTTCTGGCGGGTGCCTTACCTCCCTTGGGCTGGGCCAGCTGGTGGTCGGCCTGCTCCGTCTCTGCCGCTTGCCAGCTACACCTCGGCCGGCGCAGGGGGCGGAACCACGCATGCGCGGTGCTCCCGGGCATGGAAAGTCCTCGACTTACGACCGGTTGGGTAGTCCTCGACTTACGACCGGTTTAGTCCTCGACTTATGACCGGTTGGGGGTCACGGCATTAAAAAGGTTGAGAACCACTGCTCTAATCAATGGTCAGCCTTTTGTTTCGTTTTACTGGCCAATGATCAAAATAAAATGACTGACTTCTAGGTTTTCTAGAACTGTATTTGCCACTGCCAAGTGCGTTGCTAACACCAGCCTTAAGGTCCAGGATAGAAAACAGAGTTTAGATAGCAGAATAAACTTGACTGTATCTAAGTTGCCCCATCTCACTTGAATAGTAATTTTTAATCCAGCTGGAAAAAGATCTTGATCTAGAAACTAACGTGTCTATTCCCAACTGTGCATTAAACAGAGACCAGGTCAAAAAATCACACAATGATTCCTAAATCTAGAGCTGCAGTTCAATCTACACCAGCTATATATTTTCTCAAGGATCCCGATTATATTTGATGCGAAAGTTATAGGCCTTTTCCAACTATCAATGGATCTTTACAAAGGCAGATGGCAATACTCTTTCTTTTGTACTGCTACAGGGCAGGTACCTCAAAATTTTTGTAATCTTCTGCTTGTGTCCTTGTGGTATGGAAGAAATTTAAAGGTTACACATGCACTTTTACTTTG